CTTAAAGGACAGTAATTCGTGCGACTGTTCCTTTCCTTTTAATTATCCTGCGTTATTTCTTATTATCTTTTCTGATATAATTCTTGCCTAATATATTTCCTTTTTACAGCTAATCTCGCAATGATGAGAATGAGTCTTTCGTACTCGCCTTTCTGAGCGAGCTCCTTATAAAACAAACGTATCCTTCTTCTCTGCTTACTTACTACAATCTATTCCTAATTTTTCTTGATTATATTGCTATCATCATTGTCGACGGTAAGTCTGCACTCAGTACGTAAAGTCTACGGACAATTTGAGAATTTCACCTCGCGGCAACCGCAATCTGTACGCCACAGTCGTGGCGGAATCAGCTGTTAAGTCTCGCAATCAGTTCTAATCGTAGAACGCGTGACACTCCTAATTACAGGCAGTGGCCCACGTCTCTCCCTAACCAGTCGGAGAGTCATAGACGTCCCATTCAATACTAATTCTAATAGCCGTGACCGTTCCACCTCTACAAATGGACTGCATATTCTGCAATGGAATGCCCGTGGCCTCTTCGGTAAACTCCCGGAACTCTACTCCATGGTCTCTCTATTTGACATCATCTTTATACAGGAGTCACTTCTCACGCAGGACAAATTCATCAATCTCCCAGGATACAAATTTATTCGATTGGATTCCCCTCCCCTGATGTGAGAGGTATATGTGTAGCCTACCATTCTTCTATTCAGGTACGTTCCGTTTCTCTTCCTCTACAAACTCACCCCTCTTGTGAGATCATTGCAATCTTTGTTAAGACTAAGGAATTCGAAATCCTTGTTATCAACATCTATCGCCACCCCAATTCTTCCACCCCTCGACAATTCATCCATGAAATGTTTTCATTTGCTTCAAAATATAAACACTATCATTTTAGGAGATCTGAACGCCCATCACCCATACTGGAACTCTCGTAACATGGATTCGGCTGGACGGAAAATCTTTAACGTGGTAATTTCATCAAACTTTACTCTGCTGAACGATAATCATCCTACCTACTTGATTTTTGCTTCTTCTTTTCTCACTCCATTGTGTGAATTCTTTATTGATAACGATCTCCACGGGAGTGATCATTTCCCTATTGGCGTACATATTGCTTGTGAAACTTCTCCATCCCTTCGCTTTGCGTACAAAATCTCAGCCCCCTTGTTCCTCCCCGCTCAACGGACATTCTTCCGGGTATCTTCTGACAGCCATCCTGTCTATCCTATCAAATATCCTGATCAACATATCCCGTTCAAGTGAGGGATTTATGATAGGCCTTTTCACATCAGGCCTTATCTAACAGCCCCGCTAAATGTGCATCACTGCAGATAATCCTCGATAAATATCTCCCTGCTATTGAAATGACCTTGACAACCTCCAATTAAAATTTGATAAGTTCACTGAGTATATTAAGAAATCCGTAGAAGAAACTCTCAAAATACACAGAGGCCCTCAGTCCTCATTCAAACCTCCTCACAGTACTTTAATTAAAAAGGGTTCTCCTCCTATCCCCTGGTGGAATAACATATGTGATGAGGCAATCCAGGCTCGGAAACTTGCACTGAATAACTATAAAAATAATCCCACTGCTGATTCCTTACGAGAGTACGATTCGGCATTGCACTCATGCTCTCGTACCCTCCGTCATCAAAAGCGCCTATCTTGGCGGACCTTTTGCGCCTCATTTTCCCATAAAACTCCCCCTAAAACTCTATGGAATCTAGTTAGAGCATTCAAAAGAAGAAAATTTTCACCTTGTCATCACTACACTTCTTGTGAAATCGACGATGCCACATTCAAATATAGAAAACTCGGCGAAATGGATAGCGACGCAGATACCCGAGTTTTCAGGGGACGAAGAGTCCAACGTAAAGGCATGGATAGCCAGAGTCGACAAAATAGCTGCAGTACACGGAGCTACGGAAGGCGTCATACAATTAGCAGCCTCAAGCAAGTTAACAAAGGAGGCGAGGCGTTGATATGACCTGCAGCAAGGGCCGGTACTGGAAAGCTGTACAAGCTCTCAGCCAGGACCTCATAAAGATTCGAAGAAGAGATTAACAGACAAGTAAGCGATCTCTTTTCAAACAACCTGATTGACTACTCCACCGTACAGTTCTCCGGTGTGGATAGTGCCTAAGAAGCCTGACTCTCATGGAAATAAAAAATGGAGAATGGTAATAGATTACCGCAACTTAAACGAGAAAACTATAGGAGATGCTTATCCGCTCCCTAACATCACTGATATCTTAGATCAATTAGGATCTGCTAAATATTTCTCCGTGTTAGATTTAGCGTCAGGATTCCATCAGATTCCTATGGCTCCTAAAGACGCTCACAAGACCGCTTTTACTACACCTTACGGACATCCTATCAGAAGTGGGATCGACCTGGGCCTACTCTAGGATTACCCGCAAAAACCCTTCTGGGATTATTCGGGCATACAGCGGGACCGCGGAGCGCTCCCGGGAGCACACGAGCCTACCACGTGAACGCGTAGTGCGCCGAAAATCCACGACCGCATGGTGAGAACGAGAGCGCAGCTGACCATGGAAAAAAGCGAACTTGAACGTTTGACTTTGGAGCAACTCCGAGAAGAGGCCCGAAACCACGGTCTCTCCGCAACGGGGGACAAACGGACGATTATCGGGCGGCTACAGGAGTATATCAAGGAGGCAGATACCCTACAGAATATATCAGTTATTATCAGTTCAAAAGAATGCCATTCGGATTAAAGAATGCGCCTGCTACGTTTCAAAGATTGATGGATAACGTCCTATCAGGACTCCAAGGAATAAACGTAACGTAAAGGAAATGAGCTTTTTGTATATATGGACGATATTGTTTTATACGCTAAATCGCTAAGAGAGCATGAAATAAAGTTTCAACGATTAATACAGAGATTACGATTGGCTAATTTACGCTTACAGCCAGATAAGTGTAAATTCTTGTGTAAAGAAGTTTGTTACTTAGGACACATTATTGGATCACATGGCGTCAAACCAGACCCCGAGAAAATTAAAGCTGTAATTGATTTTCCCGTTCCCCGGAGCCCTAAGAATATTAAGCAATTTTTAGGCCTCGCAGGATATTACCGTAAATTCATTCCAGATTTCTCTAAGATAGCTAAACCGCTTACTGATTTATTAAAGAAGGACAAAGAATTCCACTGGACTGATAGCCAAGTAGACGCTCTCACATCTTTAAAAACCGCTTTATGTTCTAATCCTATATTACAGTATCCTGATTTCACAAAACCTTTTATACTTACTACCGATGCATCCGGATATGCCATCGGCGGCGTCTTAAGTCAAGGCCCCATCGGAAAAGATTTACCAATCGCCTACACTTCACGCGTCTTGAACAAGGCGGAACAAAATTATTCAACGATTGAAAAAGAATGTCTAGCCATCGTATACTGTGTGAATCATTTTAGACCGTACCTTTACGGTAGAGCCTTTGTCATAATTACTGATCATAAACCACTTGTTTGGTTACACTCTGTTAAAGACCCTTCCTCTCGGTTATGGAAGTGACGTACCAAGCTAGCAGAATATAAATATGAAATAAAATACAAGAAAGGAAGATTCTCTCAATTTCCTGTGTCTCGACTCTCGAGTAAATTTATAAGTTCGTCTTTCGTCTTTTGTCCGAAATCTAATTCAATATCCTCTAATGTGTGTTTCAGATTTGTCTGGTCGTGTTTGTCAACACAGAGTTCAACTCTCTTGTAAATAAATACTGCCCACCTTTCTGCCCCCCTTCCTCCTATTCCCCTCCCCCTCATTGTTCTAACGCGGACTCATCTAGGATGGACAAGAGCATCTCTCTATCTGAACTTGAACTAACAATTAAAATGATTAATCGTCACTCCAGCCCCGGCCTCGATCACTCCTCCCGTCCTTTCGTTTTTTGTCTCCCCTACCCAGTTATGCATGAACGTCCGGAGATCTTTTATCTCAACAAAGACCTCTTTGCTGATACCTCTTCTGTAAATATGACATTCTTGGAAACCACAGCTTATGATTTACCAGTATACGCTAAAAAGACTGAGTGCATAGATACTCTTATGGATTATCTTGAGCGTCAAACCCAAGATAAACTTCCAGAAAATCAATTCCAGGAGTTAGCTAGTAATACTTCCTCGCCGATTCTTGACGAAAATTCAGCGAATCGTTCCGCGCAGAATACACCCTGCGCCATAGTACCGGAAGTCCAGCAGTCGGAAAAAAGAACCGACGAACCTCCTGCTTATGTTAAAAATCTTTGCGATTTAATGCAAAAAATTCTAGCTCAACAGTTGGATACAAATAATAACAAAAATTGTTTAAATGCAGATGGACAAGACAAGCCGTCGAATTCAAATAACGAAGTTCACAGGATTAATGTTCTTCATGAAGCAGGAACCAAACCAAAGAGTACACATCCGCTTTATCGTTCCAAGGGAGAAGATACATTTCTACCATCATTGCATTCGGAGGATGAACCAGAAATACCTATGCGTAACACTTTGACGACAGTGTCAAAGGCTCAAGCTGTACAACTACTCACTTCACAACTTTCTTCATTTGGTGGTGTATTCTTGATGATGTACTTTGCTAGTGGACTTAGGGTTCCAGCCAGACAACTAGCAATTGAGAATATAACAACTGCATATTGTGCTTTATCAAAGAGAGGTACTGTATCTGATGAATTCTGTACCAAAATTCAAAATTCAGTACGAGATGAATTAGGGATTAATGTCAACCTAAATCCTGGAGTAATCAATGCTCTATATAAGGGTTATATGCAGGGAGTAAATGAGACCAATGCAGCAGAAGTTTTCCGTTTATTAGATAATCTGATTCCTGATATTGCACTTAGACTTAAGTTAACATTGAGTCAAGCATCAGGATCTGGTTTGACTCTCTATACCATTATTGGTCGAGCAATTCGCATGTATCGAGATTTCCCTTGGGGTCGTATAAATACACTTACAAGTGGAGAATTGACTAATTGGCGAGCAGCTGTAGAAGTTGTTGGTCAAAATCCTTTCTATGGATTCAAACGTGACCTAGGAGTAGTCAAATCTACTCTATACAAATCACTTGGGTACGTTGCTAAGAAACTGTTGGTTCGAATAAATGGTGAAAGAACACTCACTAGATATGCTGGGCTAGCAGGAAACATCAAAAGCAAAAATGCACTTGATCGACTCATACTGATGTATGTGGAAAGATATCAGGAAGAAAGAGAAGAAGAAACTGAAGCTGAACGACAGGTAATTCCTCTTCAAACAGACCTGGACAGAAATGAACTGTGTTTCGCGGAGTGAAGTTTGATGCTTTGGATTTATACTCATTTTAATCTCGCGCGTTTTTGGGAAACATGAGCAGACGCGACCTTCGCTATTTAGTCGTGGGTCCGCGCCACCGTCGTGGGTCCGTAGTGGGGAGGGGGGAGTCCGAGCCGCCGAATTTCTAATAAAAAGGGGCAACGAGCGTGACGTGACGCTCAGTGCGACTTCCTTCGGTGAACAGTGAAGTGCTCGGGTACCCGATTAATTCGAGATCGTTCGATTAACTTCCATATTCTAACCGTGATTCGCTTCTGTCCCTTGAGAGTGGCGATCGATCCGATTGCCAATCGTATTAACAACGGTCATACTTGGCGCGAGACACTACGTTGTCTCGTGATACGTAGTAACCGAGCCTGGACTCGGTACGAGATTCATCTCGTGATCCAGAGACAATTCTCTGTAACTATACGTAGTAACCGAGCCTGGACTCGGTACGAGCTCGCCTCGTGATCAGAGCCGAGTCTCTGCAGTATCGCGGGGCCCCGTCGCAATTGATACATACACGATTTTCACCTGTTGTACAACACACACACTCGATTAGAGATCATTGGGGTTTTTATGCCGTAAGGCTGTTCCCCACGAGCCAATAAAGGAATTCTTCCATTGGCTCAAAAACACGCATTCGATTTTTTCTTCCCGACCCAACCGAGAACATACGAAACCACGAGATCTCTCCATGTTGGAGAGGTTTCGACGATACAAACTGTTTGTCTGAAAAACAATTTAATAAATTTGATGTTCATTGATTTAATTCATGTGTTCATTTTATTATTGTTATTAACAAGAATGTTTAAATCATTATTTCACAATCAATGAATAAGTTTCGTACGGTGGAACCGAAGAGGAGAATGTCGAAAATTGGATTCGCCGTGAAGAAAAAAATAGCGGTTATCCATGGAGTTTCAATGGACGTATTGTTTTTAGCAGCTACATCTAAATTAAATAAAAACGCAAGAAAATGGTTCGATACATGCCAGGACTCAGTATTAGAATCTTGGAAATCCTTCAAGACATCATTATGTTTACGTTTCGAGAGAAAAGCATTATGGCAAGCTATAATGCAGAAGATCGAAGCAAGAAAATGGAATCATCATAGAGAATCCTTTGATGACTACGCTACAGACAAGCTTCTTCTAATGAATACTTTGTATCTATCGGAAGCTGATTCCATACAGTTCCTAATTTCTGGGATCACCAGCAGCTCATTGAGATGTACTACCGCTGCAATAGAAGCAACATCAGTGAGCAACTTTCTTCTTAAAATGCATCGCATCGCTGCATCATATACAGGTACAAGCAAATCTCCTACACTGCCAAGAAAGTGGGAAAAACCAAAGACCAAGGAATCAACCAATACTGAATCTCCAAAGGCTGAATTACGTTCTAACGATTCTAAATTGAGCAAAGATATTCCCTTTTGTTCTTATTGCAGGTTACGAGGACATACGAAGGACAATTGTTTTAAACTGCAACGTAAAGAGCCGAGGGCTTACAGCTAGAGCAGCCCAAACCCGACGTAACTCTGTCTTCTACTTTACTGATGGTTATAATAATAATAATAATAATAATAATAATAATAATAATAATAATAATCGTGGCCATGTCGTTTCAGTGCTTGAACCGACTGCCATAGGATAGATTAAGAAAAAGATGGCCGTATTGACACCGTCTGAAGTCAGGAGCCAATAATACACAATAATAATAATAATAGAAGACATTCCCGCCTTTCTAACGATATATAGTTCCGACAAATAGCGCCATGCGTTTAGGCACGAGATTTAAAGTCTGGGTGGAACATTGTCGGACTGTGTATTAGACAAAACTTGTAAACTTAAGCTGCATATATGTAGAATTCATTGGTTTGCCGCTATTCAGTCTTTGTTGGGTATTAAACGATATACTATATAATCTTATACATACATACATACATATATATGTATATACAGGGTTAGATAATGTCTAGTTAAAAAGATAAAAGTTAAGTTAAAAAGTTAACAAGTTAAATAGTTTTAACTTAGTTACGGTATAAACTGTTAACTTTTATATAAATAAACTGTTAAATAGTTTTAGCTTAGTTACGGTATAAACTGTTAACTTTCAACTTAATTTATATTTTATCGGTAACTTTTAACTTGTAATTTACCTTTCTTAAAATGAACCATGCCATAAACAAAGGCATCGCGAGGCACCGTGCGTTTGTCTATATTGGCAGTTCCTGTGTTCCAAAATTCACTCCCAGCACTAAAAATTTATAATATACGATATATGCACTATAGATCTTTAATGCTGGCAGTGAATGTTGAAACACAGCCATTATATGGGACTTTGATTCTCATGTGAATCTGCGCATGAAACGGACCATATTTCATGTAGTGTGATTGGTTGTGCAAACGCTGGTCGTGAAATTCAAAGCAGTTTACACGATCGCGAGTCTCTAAGATTTTGTATAAAAATAAAACAAATTTAACTTTTAACTTTTTAATTTCTTTTTAATATTAACTTAAATTTTAATTCAATTAATTTCATTATGGGTTAACTTGTAGCTTAACTAAGTTAAATTTTCAAAGTTGTTAACTTTAACTTAGTTAAAAAAATAGGCAACTTACTCAACCCTGTGTATATATATATGTATATATATTTTTTTTTCAAACAATGTCATGTCTTATCTATAAGATCGCATTCAACCATAGATACTTAAATAATTTTAGAGTATTTTTAGTAATCCACTCTGACAATTAAATACTTCAATAATAATATAAGAGAAAAAGTGATTCTTCTCCAATATTTGTTAAACTTAACAAAAAGGCAATAAACGAGTGAATATTACTGTTTTAAAGTAAATATATATAAAGAATTGCAATAACTATGTAATTAAGACTCGAAAAGAAAGAAACATCTAATAGACTTGATAAGAAGTAAAGACATCCCTCAATACGTTTCCCATGACATCGAGAGAATCTAAATTTGAAATTGCGTGACAAGTAGCTTGGTTGCTTTGGCAATATCGTAAGCGCATGAACGTACTTGTTGCAAACAACGATCCATGTGCTCGGCATCACTGGTGCATCTTTGAAGACCGGAACACTCAGCTTGAAGTCTCCCGGTATTACCATTTAACTGGCGTAAGGCAGATCTGACATTCTCCTCAATTGGATTCTATAATACAGATACAATGAAAATTATCTCTACCAGCGAATGAAAAAGTGCGTTCAAAATGATCTTACCTGAGGAAATATAGCAGTTAACTCGGCAACAGCAACGCGTATCCTCTCGGCGCACGGCACGAAGGCCTCTCGTTGGCTTGGATCTTGCATAGCCATCCACAGCTCTTGAATTCGCCTGGTAACTTGTTCCGTTCGTCGAGTGACCTCTTCGCTGGGTGGCAAATTAGACGCGCCACATTCCCACAAGCTTTGCGTGTTACTTCGCGATAATGTCTCGGTGTCGCGCTTCGTCTAAATGAAATAAACGCAAACGGATATAGTACGGATACACTTGGTCAAATTGTTTTGGAAAAATCGTTAATTACCTGGCAAATGGTTGTCGACCATGACGCTGGTTTCCGCAGACCTTCTCTAGTCTCATACATAGATGCCGGTCGTTGATTTCCACGCACAGTGGACGTTTTGATATCGTGCACTGGCTCTAATTCAGGTTCCTGTTCTCCACCAACATGCCCGTTCATGTTGCCATCGTCAGAACCTCTGATCTAGATTAGTGAAACATTTACATTTTCAGTATTTTTTTATGCGACTATGAGCCGGTTTTTCCAACTTCTTGGTAAGTTAACTAATAGTTAAATCATATGTCTATCTTTGTCTAATTTGAAGAAAAAACAAAAACATACATATGATTTAATTATTGGTTAACTTATCAAGAGGTTGGATTAACCGGCCCTAAATGTTATAAAACCGACAACGTTGTGCGTCAATTAGAATTTTGTGTCAATTACCCGTAGCATATGCTTCAGCTCGTTGTTCTCTCGAGTGAGCTGCTCGACAGTAGTTTGCAGGGCGTGTACCTGCTCGCGGAGATCTCGCACAGTTGATTCGGACAGGGTCAATTGTTTCTTCAAAACTTCTACCATAGACGGAAGACCCTTAGCGATTGGTGTACATGCTTCCTGTAACAATGTAACATGATAAGAATCTTTGCTTTAAATTAACATACACTGTGCAACAAGTATAAAGAGCATGTTACAATGATCACGCAAAAACGAATTGTTATAAATTGACGTGTGTATTATCATTATATTGTTGTTATGCAATATCATAGTGTTTAGTGGATTGCGAATCGTTATATGAATCAGTCCAGACCAGCAGCTAATTAATGCCTCACAACGGTCAAAATTTACACATTTTGACAATGACCGCACATGCACAAACAGAACTCTGTGCACTTGCCTAATAACACCGCCTACAGAAAAGCCATGTTCTCAGCCAATTCCGTACTCTTCTTTTTGTTACTAGTGCCGGTACCTTTAATATTTTACCACAAACAGGTAAATAGGACTAATATCGAGCTTTATGAGTCTATATATTTCTTGCATCTCACTCTTGGCACGCGTTAAAAAAGGTAAGCAGTTTGCGTAACTACATTACTAATATACTTCCATCAATACATGTTACACCCTCATAGAAATTAGAAAAAATAACATCCTATATCTATGCAAGGACGACCGATATTTTGTATTGTCACTCCAAGGATAAATATAGTCGCGTTTGTTAATGCATTTCTTTGTACTCGAGGACTGAAGTCTTTAATTACCTCATTATTAGTTTTAAGCTGGTTCGAAACGTCGGACGAAGTATTGTCCGTAGATGTTAGAGCAGCATAGTCATCATCAGATGCAACACTGTCGTACAAAGGCTCGTCGTCAGACACTTGCGATCCATGCTTACCAAGTTGCTCTTTGCGAAGCATAGATACCGCGGGATCTAAGAAAAATAGATAACACAAAAATGTAGACGATGTAGTATTAGAAACTCTCATAAAATGAATGTTAACTCGGTAATATTACTTTGAAGTGCATTATTAGCGAGCGTGTGTCTCCGACCCGCCTCAATTAGTAAATCTACGATGAGAGTGGTGAATTCCTTCGGCGTAAATCTCGCTAATTTTTGCCTTCCTTGGTTTCTAGTAGACGACAATTGCGGATTAACTGGCAGAAATGGAACGGTACATTTCTCCGGGAGGGATGCGGTTGAAAACCAGACTATACATAAAATATGAAAATCGAGTCGTTTTATATTACATAATTGGGCAATCGTTTATATGTATACTTTATGCAATTATATTTATTAAATGAGTTCAAACATCCTTTACTCACCCTTCCAAAGAAATAGCATGACAAAGAAACATATATATATCATTAACTTACATAAGTAAAAAATTCATGCATATCTAAATTACGATTAACATATCTAATTTAAATTTCCAATAAATAAAAAGAAACTGATACTCACTTGCTTCTGTTTCCCGGCGATCCACCTCGTCGTAAACGTCCATGGCTAGCTCTTCCAGCAAGTGATTTGGTAGCTGAGCAAAAATAAATCAAATCTTACATTCTATACAGAACAAAAGAAAAGAAAATAAATAATCAAAACATAAATGCCTACGTACCATTTGCAATCTGTTTTTTCCTTCTAAAGCCAATTCATTTTTATCCAAGAAAGACGCCAAATCGGAGTTTATTAGATGTTCATCGCCTCGATGACTCGGTTTGCGAGAACATATGTGGTATGTTAGTCTGTCTGTTACTTCGTACATACATTCAATTATACGTTCAGATAAATCTATATGCCCTGCCATTCTAAAATGACAAAAAGAATACTTTGATGTGAAAAACTCTCCCTGGGTCTAGTTTGATAAAAGACGTTACCATCACATCACTTACTTGGCGATATCAGCAGCCGTTTGTCCATTTAGATCAACTACACTCGGATTTGCACCATTAGCTATTAAAAGTTCTACTTGGAGAGCTTGTCCGGCACGTGCTGCCACATGTAAAGGTGTGGTCCCTTTTTCCTGCATATTACATGTGTAATTTAATGAAAGATTTCCTTGTAATACCACAATTATATTATTTGCAATACACCGGTGTATTGTACTTAAATAATTACTGAAATATACCTTGTAAAAATAATTGGAGTTGGCTCCCTGTGCCAATAGCCTCAACGAAGTTTCTAAATTACTTGTACGAACGCTACTGTGTAACTGTCTACTGAGTTCCTCCTCGGTACAACACTCCTCCTTGCTCGGCCGCAATATAAAGGCCAAGTGTTGATGTTTGGCTTTAATAAAATCTGCCTTCGCTGGGCTGTAAGCAAATAAAGTAAAAAATAAAGAAAAACAGTTATATGTCAAGAAAACAGCTTATCTCTACCATTTAGAATTGCAATGGACTTTAATTTGGAGGAATAACGATAACTGACTTCTATCTAAACTCGATTCACTCCACAAGTGTCGAAGAGCATCCACGAGTGAAAATTATATACAATAAGAAGAGGAGGTATTGTGTATCGTATGCTAAATATATTTAAATAATAAGTATTTAAGTAATTGGATTTGTTCATCGAATTAGATACATGAATTTTCTGACAATTCGTTTGATACAAAAACTATTAGAGGGCAGTCCTTTATTATGAGATAGGTTTCTAATATGAGACAGTAAGCTTTCAACAAATTCAATAGTCTTTTTCCGCAACGATTATACATTCTAACAATGAATTATCTACTAAACAGATTTCGCTCCAAGGACAACAAATTTATGGTGGAATCAATAGATAAGACCTATTAATTTAACAGAAATTCTACTATCTCATATTAGCTTATCTCATTATAGAGGACTTTCCTCTATATGTGCGACAAGAAACCAGCGCACAGTACAGATGGAAAAGCGGTATAAGAATTAATATGTTAAAAATTATTTGACTATCTACATCCTGCCTTGGACCTTATAGGCTTCTCGTTTCTTGTGATTTTTAATGGTTTTGATTGAACTCTGTTTGAAAATTGTATGTTCAGCGACGAAATAAAATTTGTTACAATTACTAACTGTAAGGGATCCTTAGACTGCGGTTTCCTCCTACTAATCTTGGAGTTGCTGGGGTCTAGCAGGGAATGTTCCCAAATACTGTTAGCTCCGTTATCACTCAATGTATGCACCATCTGAAAATATTTATTCTGTTATCTCAAGGGGATGCTGCAGTGATTCTGTACTTCTGCACCTTTCTACCCTAGAAATGGTCAGTTCACGGAAACATTTGTGCAATATACAAAGTAAATGGCTAACGTGTACAGATCGAAAGCAGCTTGTTATTCCAGCAAATTAAAGAACAATATGGCATCACTGAAACTAAGTCTGTAAGTCTAATAAGAAATAATACTGAGCAATACATACATACAGTACGTGTATGTGTTACAGTATATGTATAAATTCTTAATTTCAAGTTTGCCGCCAAAACATACCGAGGTAACTTTTTAACCGACGAAAAATGGTAGGTTGAGAAGTGAAGGAGGTAGAAAGGGAGAGAGAGAGATACAGGAGGGGGGAGAACAGAAAGAGAAGAGGAGTATGAGAGAGTGAGTGAGTGAGTGTGAAGGAGAGAAAATGAAGGAGAGAGGAGGGCCAATGCGAGGGATTAATTACGGAATTGTATGGAAAAGATAACGCAGAGGAAACGGAAGTCCCAAAGAGCTGTGTATACGTGCGGGTGGCCAGAGGTGTGGCCGAAGCAGTCGTACACGCCTCCGGGGAGAAATAAGTAGACTAAGTTAGATAATAAGTTTAGTTTTTAGTTATTTTAAGTTGCCTTAGAATTAAGACTGGATGTAAGGAGATGTGTATATGTAATTGGTGGAGAGCGTAACCCCCCAGGGGACCGCTAAATAAATAAATGTAATGTAATGGTAGATTGAGAAGTTGACTCTAAAGTTAACTCAATTACTCTAACCCGGAGATCTGAACGCGGTCTGTCGAGTCAAGAAATATTTACTCAGATGCTATCTGCACGGTATCGGGTAAATGTTTCTACTCAGAGTAAAGGTACGATTTCACGATGTCGCTTGTCGCTGCGATAAGTGGTCACGTGACCCAAAAATTCCCCATTTTTGTCCGCTTTCTTGTCGCTAGCGACGCCTTCGAAAAGTTGGATTGAACTCAACTTTTAGCGACGTCGCTCTCACGCAAATATGAGAGTTTGAACATGGAACTGGAAGATGTAAATACATTAAATAAATACACACAGACTTTTCTAATACTCAATAAATTAAAACCCCGAAATTAAAACATCGAATAAACGATTGCTTATTTTTTTATTCTCTATGAGAACGCCGTAAAACCGTTAGGTTATTTGGTGTGTCTTCTTGTTTCGCCGTCCTATTTTTACAGTATTTTCCCTGTGCCCTTGATAAACTGGTAAATGAGCACCATCTTCTCCCAGTCTTCTCTCTTGATAATGTGAAATGATTGTTTGTTATAATTTTAAGGTTAACTGTGGTAACATGTACATACAGCAGAATAAAAATTGTTAAAATTGAAATAATTTAATAAAATTTTCATCCAGTAACAGGTATAATATATACTTAAGTTATACTTATATATATATATATATATGGATATAAGTATATATTATATCTGTTACTGGATAGAAATAAAAGTTGTCATCAATAAACAGCCGGGTGTATTCCTCTATACAACTATAAGTCGGTATACTTTTTTCACCAATAATTAGTTTGCATATTCCACAAGTGTGTACAACAGTTACCTGAAAATTTCATTAAATTATTTCAATTTTAACAATCCTTATTCTGCATGCTGTATGTACATGTCATCACAGTTAATCTTAAAATTATAACAAGAAATCGTTTCACATTATCGAGAGAGAAGACTGGGAGAAGATGCTGCTTATTTATCAGTTTATCAAGGGCACAGCAAAAACACTGTAAATGGGACGGCGAAACAAGAAGACATACCAAATAACCTAACGGTTTCACAGCGTTCCCGTAGAAGAAAAACATAAAAAATAAGCAATCGTTTATTCGATGTTTTAATCTCGGGTTTTTAATCTAATGAGTATTAGAAAAGTCTGTATGTATTTATTTATTTAATGTACTTACATCTTCCAGTTCTATGTTCAAACTCTCATATTTGCGTGAGAGCGACGTCGCTAAAATCCGTTTACACAAGCTTCTTCTTCTTTATCTTGTTACGGCACCCAGCTCCTGTATCGAGCCGACACGACCACGACGAACCAATAGTCTTGACTTGACGATATAAATCTCCTAACGTGTAATCGCGTTTTTAATGTCACACAATGCAAAGGCCCAGCTACCGAGCCTCGCGCGGGATGATGCAATCCCTATTGGATGATGCAATCCCGCAGGATCAAAAATTTTATCTTCCGTCGGAAGACGTGTGAACCGCTCAACGGCCCAGACGGGACTCGTTTACACGAGCGACAGGTGAAGTTAGCGAGAAATGAAATCACGTGACTTGTTTGTCGCTGAATATTAGCGACGAGCGACACCATGAACACGTACCTTAAGGGATCTGAACACAGCCTCAAGGGCTACATGATGTACATACGTGCGACACAACAATTTCGAGAAAATCGAAAGTGTTCTGCTCACGTAGGCGCTGCATACTCACGTTCAATAGCTGCGCGTTCCAAACGCCCTTGTGCAACGACTTGATGTGCGACACGTGACGCCCTAGACTACGATGAATCCCACAGCAGTCGTCGCACAATAAAATAGCCCTGTTTATCGACGCCCATCCTGGCTCTGAAACAGCACGACAGACCTAATGATAATCTCCCGATGGGACGAGCGACGTTACCAAGACCTCCGCATTAATTAATATAGACAAGAATGCGTGTTTATCTTCAACCGCGCTCGCTGGTACCGAGCTAATGTTCGAGAGACATACATCAAGCGCCCTCGTAACACACGATTGCCGCGCATTTATCTTACTTTATAAGAAGGGAACGACGTTCCCGTTGAAACCGCGCGGCAGCCGGACAGCCTAGCGAGATGAAAAACGATGCTCACCGAGAGTCCCGCAGTCGGCGCAGACGTCCGCGCTCGCTCTGTGCTTGGGACGCGCCATGCTTCCGTCTCCCCGATCAGCGGCGCTCACTTCCGCACATTGTACTGCGTCGCGACCGTGCGGTGTAAACGACGAAGATGGATGGCGACGACGGCGAGAACGACTTGTGGAGTGGAGCGAGATAAAAAGGCAAGCGGAACTGTTCCATTACGCTCTTATCACCCCGAGTTTCCGGTCTTTCCGGAGGAGATCGCTCGCGGCCGCTACGATCGGTGATGAGTCCAGTAATGGGAGATTGCAAGGATTATTCGCGCACGCGCATTGAGCAACTTCTGCGCAGCCTCATGGCTCCTGCC